TTAACATTTGGCCTAGATGGACTGTGGACTCTTCTCACCGTACAGTATAGATTGGTTTAGGTTTATTTTCTTAAGTGCTTGGGTTTGCGTTAGTACTGTAGCAAACGTCATCATGCTTTGCATTCCCAGATCACAGTCACCCAGATCTAATTTCTTTAAGGATGAATTAATTTTCAGCATTGCAGCAAAAAACATTCCACCTTTGTTTTCAGTCTCATCTCCAGTTGTTCTTTGGTATTTCAGAGTTGTTTTCATGCATAGTGCTTTAGCAATCAGTTCTTCACTTTTGTGCCCAATGTTATTAGACATAAGGTTTAAGTAAATGAGATTACATTGTTTCATCAATATATGGATGATTCTTTAAAATTCTAAAAAAACATCCAAAAATCTTCACCTGTTATTCTATCTACTGGCATTAAGTGATTGTTACCAGTTAATGTGATTCCTTTTTCTAGTCACACTTGCCCTCCTGGGCCAAGGCCTCGAGTGGTGGCTGGAGTAGGGGCAGGAGGGGGTGAGCTGGCCAGGATGGGAGCGATCTCCCCCCAAATACTCCACATGCTCCTCTCACCTGGTGGGCCATGGCCATGGCCATGGCAGCAGCGCTCTAGTTTTTTAATTCTATTGCCACAAATATTTAGTTAATCAGAACATGGATCATGTTTAAATTCACATGTTGAAAGTCAAACTGAACTAGAATAATTAATATACCTATGTTTTAATATTTGGAGATTGTCTGTTGGGTTTTGGAATAATCATCCTTTTGAGAGTGCTCTTTTTATAGTCTTTACACTATGTGAGGAAGCACGGTTATTTTGATAACTGTCGCCTTTGAGTAGAAAATCCAACTCTAGTTTTAATTTTTTTCAAAAGGCAATTTTCTTAAGGACCGCATTTGTTTAGGAAGGAAAAGCAAATTTGCCAGTTTAAATGTAAATTGTTTTTGGTGATCAGGAAATATGAAAGTAAAGTTTATCATAAATGGAGATTACACATTTTTCTTATATGCAAAATCAATTCTCATTCATGCAGGAAATAGAAGCATTTTGCCTGTATTTGTATTCAAGCCTACCTCTTTAACTCAGAGTAACCTAATGTCCACTGCCTGAAAAAATGCAGATGCCTCATTTTGAAAAGGCATCACAATTATCAGTGGCTTTCAATTAGAAAAGAAAAAATCCCTCAATTTTGTAGAAAATACCTTTAGTACCTGGCTGATGGAACCTAATTTGCAAGCCAATTATAGCCTTGATAAGAGTCTGTGAACATTTCTTTGAGCTGCTTAAGCTAAAAATAAATATTAAAACCTTATTTTAATAGAAAGCTGGTTAAGATATTTTAAAGTCCGTGAAAAGCAAATGTTTTGTTTACATTTTTGCTATATTCTTAAGTACTCATAAGAGTCAATAAGTCCAAACGTGATAACTCAAATATTTTTAAATTTAGACCTCATTTGGTTTTCCTTACTTAAAAACCACTATATTTTGTATGCTCTTAACAAGTTGTGTTATCATCAATAATCATGATTTGTTAGGAATATACTTAAACTATTTAATTAGAATTGTTAACTGAACAAGTTTATCTCCTATCTCAATCTAGAATAGGCTTTGAACTTCAGCTGTGTGATCTTGGATGAGTTATTCAGGTATAATAAAACCTACATCATAGAATTGTGAGGAGCAAATATTTGTTGTAGGAGAAACACATCACAGTTCCCAATAAATCCTAGACGCTCAATTAAATGGCACTGCAGGTTAATAAATGTAGTGGTCACTGTTCTGTACTTATGTTACTTTCTCAACAACATTGGACACAGCTGATTATTCTCTTTTTTGAAACATTTTCTTCATCTCTCAGCTTCGGTGACACAACAGCTCTCCCACCTCACTGGCTGTCTCTTCTAAGTCTTTAAATCTGGCCTCCCGAATTATGGGAGTGCCCCATGGCTTGCTTCAGGGCTCTCTTTTCCTTCTATAATCTCTCTCTAAATGACAGCATCCAGTCTTAAGTCTTTAAATAGTATCGTGAGTTTAAATTCATTACTCCCTACATGATAGCTCTAGCCTTTCGAGTTCCATACTCATATATTCACCGCCACCTATTTGACATCTCAACTTCAATATTGAATAGGCATCTCGTATTTAAAATGTGTAAATCAGAACTCTTAGTTCCTAGACCTAAACTCCTCTTCCCCTGGTCTTTCTCATTATTTTTAAAAGGTACCACTGTCTCCCATCTATTCAAGTTCAAAGCCTAAGAGTCATCGTTTATTCTTTTTCTCCACTGTCCACATCCTGTATGTTAGCAAGTGTTGGGAGCTCTAACTTCATGATGTTTGTTGAATCCACACACTTCTCTCTACACTTGTTTGGCCTCAATTGTCTCTTACCTGGGCTATTGCAATAGTTTCCCATCTGCTCTCTCTGTTTTCATTTTTGACCCTTTCTAATTCACTCCGACACAGCAGGCAGAGTGATCTTTCTAAAGAGAAACTCAGAGACTTGAAAATTACAAATATGAAATAAATGAAAAACTTATCACATTTTGATCAACTTTATTTATGTATGTACATATGTACGTATGTATGTATGGTGGCTGGCTGGTGTAGGGAACCAAACCCTTGACCCTGGTGTTACAAGGCTACACTCTAACCAACTGAGCTAACTAATCAGCCTTGGATAGACTTTAAAAAGACCCCGTTTTATTATTTTAAACCTGCACATCATGTTTTTCATCATCATTATACTGGAAAAAGAAGTCTCCAAATATTCAGGAACAAAATAAAATTCATCTTAATAAGTACATAACACCACTGCATTAAAATAGGTATCAGCTCATATTTTCCCTTTCTTCTTAGTCTACAGTTCAGTGGTGTTGGGTACCTTCACAAAGTTGTGTAATTGTTACCACTATCTAGGTAAAACATTTTTATCACCCCAGAGGAACTTAATGTCGAGACTTTTTCTTTTACTCTTGAAGCTATCTTTGAAATTTTTCAGCTTGTGGAATTTCCTAGGCAACTGAAAATATTGAGCTATTTTCACAAACTTCTTTATGCTAAGTTTAAAAAACCTGTAAAAATGCCTGAGCATTTTTAGATGAATATGTTTTATGACCCAGTTATATGCATGCATTGAAGTTTAAGAGAACACAAAAGGACAGTCTGGTTCAGATCATGATGCATAGGCAGTGGTGGCAATAGATGAACAATCACAGTAATGTTACATCAGTAGTTGTGAAGTAATGAATGCTGCTAACCGCACAACACCGATCAATTTATTGCACATTTATGATGGATCATCTGTGTTCTCAGTGTTATAAAAAATAAACATGAGATATGTTAGCTTTGAGACATACATTCTTTGTTTAAAAAACATAGTCACGGGGGTAGAAAGAGAACAAAATGAAGGGTCTGACAAATTTTATGGTGAAAGTGGGCAAAGGGGAAAAAAATCTTGATTTTCCAATGTAGAAATATTTTTAATCTTCATGAAAGATGCATTATTTTTAATAATTATAATTGAGGACAAATTTCAAAAACTTAAGGTACAAATCTGGATCAGAAGTTTTATGTAGGTTTTTCTTTTTCCTTAGAGTTGTAAAAATAACAATAGCCTCACAGGCCAGTAGAGGGCATGATCTTCCCATGTTCAGTTTTCAAATGTCTCATATCGAGACATATTGAGCAAAATATACTACTCCTTGCTAAAAATGTAGGTCTAAAGCGCTGCCTATGAAATGTTCTTGATCCGTGCATGGCCTTGAGTTTTAAGTCCTCAAGGTGTCCAATCGGGACTACAGTTTTTGGTCTGAGCCCTTTATAAGTTGTGAAATGTTTCAGTGAAAACAAAAGGATTGAATTTGTGGAAATTAAGACTGAATTAAAAACTTACTTTGCAGGTAAGATTACTTCTCATGGAGATTTCTATAGGCCCTTTCCATTACCTGGAACAATGTGGGGTGTTTTAGATAGTCAAGAGTTTTGTTGCTTAACAGAGAATAAAATAAGAACAGCACCAGTATGGCACAAACTGAATTCTTTATTTTTAATCCCCATTTCTACTACTGCTATGAGATTTCTGCTTTTACAGAATTTTGAAATTTACTATTAAATTGTTATTTTGCAGTGATTTGTATATCCTTTTTTCTCCCCAGTATAAGAGGCATCGCTCTTCTCATGCACATACCAACAACTTTGCAAAGTCTGTGGTCAACCTTGTAGATTCTGTAAGTACCCAATTTTCTTGAACCTATTTTTACCCAGATGGAATGGTTTATATCTCTGTCTCTATTTGCTTACTTGTTACTATAGTTATGTCTTGGGCAAAAGTAAAAATGCAATTGTTAAGCTCATTTTGGCTAAGAAATCATAAAATGGTCTGTTTCACTAAGAGTAGTGCTATCAGAGCTTCAGGGGACTATTGCATTATTCTCAGAATGCCAGAGATGCATTAGCATTGCTTCTAAGTGATGTCTAGACCCTGTTGTCACCAGAGTCCATGGAGGACAAAAACAGTAGAGAAAATTAGTTACCAAAAAGAGTGTATATTATACTTGGCAAATGAGACTTTGTTAATAACTAGTTGAGCCTTTCTTAAATATATGGTGTTAGCAGAGAAGAACTAATAGATTGAAGCAGAGTATGTTTGGAAAATATAGGTAATAAAAAAATTTTTAAAAAGACACAAATTTATTTTCTTAGTGTTCCCATTATTGAACTGTTTCAGATTTTATTTCTAGATGACAGAATTAAGTGCAGTCCCCAAATAAAACTAATTTAAATCCATAAAATATATATCTCCTTACAGAGACTTCTAACTCTACAAATCTTTAATATCAATATGTTTTTCTCCTCTCATTTTGTAATTACAGAGAATGATGGTTAAGATTTTCTTCCTTCTTCTTATGGAGTAGGAACTCCATAGACATGATATTATGCATTATGTTCCCCAAAATGGTTGAATTTGACTAGTCAGAAGTTAAGTACAGCGTACTACTTTATATATTCTAATATAGTGCTATTCTGTTCAGCTAAATATATTTTTATCTGGTATGTTTCCTCCTAACTGGGAAACAAAAAACTATTTATAAATTGCTGAACATCTAAATGGTGTTTATTTATTCCAAAGAACTGCCTTCTTTTCTGCCTTTCAAACAGTCCCAAACCTCCAATCATGTAAATACTTATAACATATGTTATGTGGCTGGTAGGCACAGCTGGTCAAAAGTGTAATATGTGTGGATGTGCATAGAGTATATCACATAGAATTAGGATTGAACCTCATAGAGCCAAATTCCACCTAGTTTATTAATTTTCTTTAATTTCAGCTCTTGTCTGTCTTGTCAGAGGAAAACTATAAGTGAATATGGAAAAGAGAATCGTACACACATCTTTCCCCCTGCAAATGCTGATTACTTGGTAGCGTCTCCGTGTCAGTCATTTCAGCGTGATTAAATAGAATCACATCCTGCAAAAGTGTAATTTTTATTTTGGGTTACCATGTGCAGTTCTGAAGTTGACCACTAATTTTTGAAAGACATTACACTTACCTCGCTTTTGTTGTATAGTCATTATAGCCTCAGTTTGATTTAGGCTCGATGATATACCTCTTCTTCAGTGTGTTCAAAGATTGTCCATTGTTTTCTTAATTAGCTTGAAAAAAGTACAGAATGATAGCATTCGTTGTAGTTGCTTAATTGTGTGAATTATTTAGCTACTGGGCCACAAGTAGAGAAAGAGAGCAGGAAGGTATTTAAATATTGTGACTGATGCCACCCTGTGGCCATGGTGAGATGGGTGACAGAAATCTGCTTTTTCCTCTTTGGTCTCAGATCTGTGATTCTTTCCCAGTGGTGTTTTAGTTCCCATATAACATGGCCTCCAAGAGTAAGCTAGCCATATTATTTAGTGCTTGTCTGAAGATTTAGTGATCCACTCCAATCCTGCAGGAATAATTGGTTTCACTGTATTTACTCAGAGCCAGTATATCAGGCTCCAACCTGTTACCAACTAGGAGGTTTAGAAGGGTGCTTTTACTGAACCTGTTTTCAATTTGCGTGCTGACTTCAGAGTGTTGACATCCCTACTATCCCCTAGTGAGATGCCAGGCCGCTAAATGTGTTGATCTTGGGATTGAAATACCATAGGAGAGTTGGTGACATGAGACCAAAGCGTATGATTGTTCTTTCTTTCTTTCTTTTTGCTCTTGGAAAAGAGAAATGAAAAGAAAATTCTCTGTGATGAGCTAATTATGACCCCATGTTCTCCTCTCACCTCTCCCGTCCTGTCCTTCCACTGACTCTGATTCACTGATCGTGCATGTTTGACCCAGTGTTTTCCTCCTGCACCTGTCCTGTTGTATACCCTCAGATTTACAAGGAGCAGCTCAATACCAGGGTTGTCCTGGTGGCTGTAGAGACCTGGACTGAGAAGGATCATATTGACATCACCACCAACCCTGTGCAGATGCTCCACGAGTTCTCCAAATACCGGCAGCGAATCAAACAGCATGCTGATGCCGTGCACCTCATCTCGTGTGTACCCATCTATGCTTTTATTGTTCTCTTTGGTTTGACATTTATCTTTATCCTTTTATTGTATCAGTTAAGTTATATATCAGAAAATGTGCCTTGAGCAAGATTGCTATTGATTTCCCTTTCTGCTATATAAGAAAAATGGAGGGAAGATGTCCCGTGCTGGGATGCTGCTGGTTCTACAACCGTAAGATCTACCTTCAGAGCACATGCATGACTTCCATCCTCAAGGTCAACTCGCAACCCGAGATGGCTGTGGTGCCCCAGCCTTCATTATGGGCAGCAGGCAGAGTCAACTCTTATAAAGCAGATCTGAAAGCTTGCACACATCGATTTTACCAACCAGTCATTTGCTAGATTGTAGTTACGTGGCCACACCTAACTGCAAGAGAGGCTAGGAAATGTAGTCTTTTTAGGTGAACCGTTGAA